AACAGCATCCACAAAAGGCCAGGGCCAGGGGAAGATGGGCCTCGAAGGCCAAAAAAGACCCCCATTAAAAAACAGAAAAAAAAAAACCATTAAAAAAGTCGGGAAAATTTGTCTGGCGCCCCTGTAATTTCCATTATTTTGCGTCGCGCCCCTCCGACGGGCCATTTCCCTGTCGTGCCCCTGGGGCTCTGAACTTTCCTGCATGCCCTTGTGAGCAAGGAGCACAACTTTCCGCGGTGCCCTTACGGGATGGCAGTCTCATTTCACCGGTCCCTGTGCAATATGCCCTCATAAGCGGCATACTTAGTGGGGGTGTGAGGCCTGGTAGAGAGCTCTGGTGGGCTGTTTGCGGGGGCAGTCTCAGTGGTCATCGGGGGTCGTAACTGGAGCAATGCTGGCCGGAGCTGGAGCAAGGTGGTGGAACTCTGTGTCCTAACCTGATGGGAGCATGAGGCCTGGAAGAGCTTCGGTTCGTGCTGAAAACAGCCATGCTGGTGGTGGTCGTAGGTGGATTGAATAGTTTCCACCTATCTGATTCGTGGTTGAGAGGCTTTTTGACACACATATTCTAGTGACTTGGTAGAGTCTGAACAGTGGAAAAACAGTTGGTTGTTCTTATGAATGTCCCAGGACTTTAAGGATTCTTAGCAACCCATCTTAGGCAGTTTCGATGCTGTTATACTCAGTGATCTGTGGCTGTTCGATGCCCGAACGACGCTGTCCAGCGCTGGGGTGTTGCCCTGTAACCTGCTGATGCAGGAGCGTGAGGCCTGGTAGAGAGATCTGGGGATGCTTTGGGGTGGGCATCCCAAGGGACAACCAAGGGTTGCTGCTGGGACGACGCTGGTCGGAGCTGGGGCGAGTTGTGTTACCCTGTAACCCAGCAGGGTGGGGGCGTGAGGCCTGGAAGAGCTCAGCAGGGAGTAAGACTGTGTTGGAAAGTCTTAGAAGGGCTTGTTAGGGATCCTGAGGGTTGTGAGCATTCGTAGGACCTCTGTGGCAACCTATTGCATGAGTAGTTCATTAGATATGCATGATCCTCCCCATGCTTTCTGAATCACATCGTATTCACAGACTGTTCTCAGCCGAAGCCGGGTAATGGCCCCGGTATCTCAAATGATCTCAAATGATCTCAAATGTTCTCAATGATCTGTACAATTCGATATGGGACGCTAGGCCCAGTTCCCAGCACGTGCTGCTCCCCACGAATAGACTGGAGCACTTGTTTTCGGGAAAAAAAAAAGAAAAAAAAGAAAAAAAAGAAAAAAAAGAAAAAAAAGAAAAAAAAGAAAAAAAAAACCTTTCCATCATGCCCGCGCGCCAGAAATTCGGATTTGAAGCACGTGGTCTTTGTGGCACTGCTGCAAAAAATGACCGTGTGTGTGTGTGTCACACACACACACACACACACACACACACACACACACACACACACACACACACGTGCGCGCACACATGACGGCCACTGCATCTCTCTCTCTCTCTCTCTCTCTCTCTCTCTCTCTCTCTCTCTCTCTCTCTCTCTCTCTCTCTCTCTC